ACCACACCCCATTCAACGACGGGCGAGACCCCTTTTCGACTAACATACGGCACCGAGGCCGTCATCCCCGTAGAGATCAGGGAACCCTCCAGGCGGACAGAGATGCCTCTCGACGAGGAAATGAACGACGAAGCCCTTAGGGGCGAACTCGGCCTGGTCGAGGAAATTCGATCAGGGGCAGCCCTGCGCAAGGCCGCTCTAAAATAGCGAGTAGCCCTGCGTCACGACGACAAGGTCATCAGACGCGAGTTCCAGATCGGCAGCCTAGTATTGCGAAGAAACCAGAAAGACTCTCGCGAAGGGAAATTGGCCGCAAACTGAGAAGGACCCTATCGCGTTCAAGGCGCTACAGGCACCGAGGCATATTACCTCGAGCAGTTAAACGGAGAACCGTTACCACGACCCTGGAATGCTGCTAAGCTAAAACAGTACTATAGCTAAAGCCCTCAACCACTGTGGACTTTCGCCGTCGAACATCCACCCTTAGTCAACAAAGGGAAAAGTCTCGACCACGTAGGCGGGTCGAGGTGCGGACCCAACCTACCATCGAATGGCACACCGTCGTTCACCCAACAAGCCGAACGATAAGGCCCGACAGGGACACCTCGATCGAGCTCCACTGTTGAAGTACCCACACGGCAGAACACCCAGCTCGCGATGGGCAGTTCACGCCACGAGACGCATTTCGAAGTGTGTCGAGCCATTAAAGGGGTCGAAAGGATATCTCTGCTCGAGAACAAAACTTTATCAAAATATTCGTTGCGAAAATGACAGTCGAACATTAGCCTAGATACGAGCAGATTATTGCAAAATAAACATCCATGGAAAAAAATATATATGCACAAAACAAGTTAATGGTGAACCGACCGAGAAGGTCGGCGATGTTCAAGGTTACAAACCATGGCACAACGGCCAAAAGAAATCAAGAATTAGCACGGGCACGCAGGCCCAAAAAAAATGAACACGGGCACGCAGGCCCCGAAAACAAATAAAAACCAATACACGGGCACGCAGGCCCAAACAATAACTTAATGCTAAACATCCCCAGGACTACCGGCATCCACATCAGGAGACTCGGGAGGAGGCACAACCTGACCATCAATAATCTGGGACAGGAACCCGACTCCCTCGGTGTTCATGCCCGGATTTAGGACGGATAGCTGACTGACTGCAGCCTCGAACCCGTCGGCTAGGGCACCGACGCAATCTGACTCGAGAAGGTGGATACGAGCAACCAAATCTGAACGGGTGCGCAAAGAGGCTATCTCCTCTGGCTCGTCATCAGCAGGAAGCATAGCAGCTTTTAGCTCCTCGATCTCCTTGGACAACCGTTGGTTGTCGCTCTCCAACCGTTCCTTGTCAAGCTGGAGGCAATCCCTCTCCTCGAAAGCCTTCTCGACCTTCTCCTTCTCCCCCGACAGCAGGTCGTCCTGCTCACGAAACATCTCCTTGGACCGCTCGAGGGCCGCCTTCAACTTGCGAGATTTGGCAGCAAAAGCAGCCTTCTCTGATTCTAACTCCCTAACACGGTCCGAGGAATCTGATCCTTCCCCTGCAAGGACCACAATCATCTCGGCCATCTTCACCACACCGACCATGCTGGCGGCGAGGTGTTTCCTCTGGCCTTCTTTGTCGAGTCGTTTAATGATGTCGGCCTCGTTATCAGACATTGTCAGAGGAAACCCCTCGAAGAAATCCTTTTCTGCAAAGCAAGGCGGTAAGCCAAAGGCCCGGGCAGCTACGGGCTCATCACCAGTTTCCACTCTGCTCTCTGTCCGACCCCTCTTCCTGCCAACCAGCTCGATCTGTTGCTCGGCATCGGGAGAACCCGAGGACCCACTAGACGCGTCTCCGCCCAAACCAGCGGGCTGGCCCATCCGCGTGGCCTACGGTGCTCTCACCAGCCTCTTGCTTATCTTTTTGTCCTGGGTCAGCTTCAACAACCTCTCTCGATGTTCCGCCATGTGACCTACAAGAAGAGCGAACCCAGGTTAGCTACAAGCGATTAAAATTAATGAAAATGGAATAACGATAAGAGCAGAAGCAAGAAACCTAGGAGATCTACGGTCTGCCCGTAGGATTGACATTCAACGAGCGCCTTGGTATTGATAGGGCGCGCATCCTCATCGAGAATGTTGTCCCCTTCCCTCGTGACCCACCGAGCGGGGAAAAATCCATCAACAAACTTGCAAAGGACAACATAGGCCTCCTCGTCCTCGACACTCATACTCCCCGCAGGGGTATGATAGTGCCCGATGCCATGCTCATAATGACCCGAGCACCAATGGATAGGGAACCTGGAAATCTGCCCGACTACAGGACTACCCTCAGCATCCAAAAGGGGCTCCCCGTCCCCGTCAACCACCACGGTTTCCGGCTCGAATAGAGAGTCCAGGGCCGTTTGGGTAGCCGGATGCAACACGTACCATTTGTCTTTGAAATCCCTCACCGAGTCCATATACATCTTAAACAGTCTCTTCGACTGCTTAAGAGAGACCCAGCTATGTTTGCCTCCTCGCGACTAACGTTGCAGATGAAAAACCCTAAAGAACAGGGGAATCGTCGCCCCAATTCTCAGGAAACGGCAGGTTAGATCGAACACGCGGAGGAAGGTGATCGCGTTAGGGTGAAGCTGCGAGGGGGCCAGGTTCAGATGACTGAACACCCCGACTTGGAAGTCACTAAAAGGCAGCCTAAGACCAAGATCCCTGAATACAATCTCATACATAGGGAATGCATATTCAGTGAACTCCGAGCAGATGCGAGCATCAATCGTCAGCCTCATTATTTTAAAATTCCTCTGAAATCCTTCCTGAGTGTCGTCGTGCTCAACGACGGTATAAGCTCGCCGGCTACGATGGCAGTACGCCGAAGCAATTCCCCGGGGCTCAGCGCCCACCCAATCGAGCGTGGGGTCGTCGACGGTGTCGACCAAGGTAACGTTCTCTTCCGTACTTGTTTCCTCGACGTCATTATGTCTTGAGGACTCCGGATTATCGGCCATTTACCTACAAAGTACAGGAAACCGGTGAATTCGACAGCAAATCTGTGTGCTCGCCACAAAGGCGGGGAGAGGTACGCAACGCTCAGATCGAAACTAAAGCCAAACACCGACACCCCAGCTCCGACCACGCATCAATCATGGATGGCACGAGCGTAACATGAGCGCCCCGGGCGAATCGTGAATCACGCGACCAAGTTCCTGACTTCGCCTACCCGATACTAGAATACTGCGAGGAGATTACCCTACATACTTCCTAAAAAGATGAATATCCCGGTCAGTTCATGAGTATGCCGACCAAACGCATGAGTATCACGGGCAATGTCATGAATTATATGCCTAAAATTATGAGTGTCTCGAGCACAGTCATGAATCAGGCGCCTAGCGCGCTTAAATCTACCGGGCATTACTTCCAAATACAGGTTTCTAGTATCAAAAATGTCATCAAAGCTATCTACAACGCAGGGAAGCAGGAAGAAGGGATACTTACTTGGAAGAAAAAGAGTACAAACAACGGTGGTGGGAGTAATCAACGGCGAAAGGTGCGGCGGTCTCAACGGCGTTACGAGAACCAACGGCTGTGGAAACAGAGAAAGAAGGAGGAGCGTGAAGAGGAGAAACAGATTATGGGCCCAAGGGTCCTATTTATAGAGATGACGTGGAATGTGAAACGTCGCACCGGGAAGACACGAACTTCCCCCGTCCTCGACACCTACCCACCTAAGCAATGATGACCATATTTACAAGGGCGGCGTTACAATTTCCAAGGACTACGCCACGTGTCCGACAGACGCGGCCCACATATCCCCGCGAGTGTTCCTCGAGCACGCCTCGAAAGGCAAAACCCCGAGTCGAGCATGAGGTCCCCGCGAAAAGAGCAAATTGAGATCAAGTCATAACTCATGTGCCAGGAACAACGACTTGGGGGGCTCCTGTTCTGGACTGGGCCTACCTTAGCCCGAAGCGCCAGTAAAGGCCCAGATCCAAGCAATTCCTCGCGCTATGCTCAGAATCAGACCACCCCGAGCGTGCCCGGTTACGGGCTACAGCAGTTATGCCTGTGGCTACCTGCAGCGAGCAGCGTCCCCGACCAAGGGCACTCCAGCTCGAGTCTTGCTCAAGCATCTTCCCCGTAGGGCAGACTCTATCCCCTCCGAACGCTATGGGATCCTTAAAGCTTCGGAAAGACCGCGTCTCCGTTCTTCCTCATTCTTCGCAGAGCACCATCCAGGAAGGGAACCACGTGCGAGTCCTCACTACACACGTAGAACCTGGCAGTCCCTTTGTTGGGCCAGTTTTGGTTAGCCCAATAAAGGGACTTTGGCCCAGCACTGAGGGCTATAAATACCCTCTGCTTCAAGAGGGTCAGGTATTCATTCATTAAACGGACGTAATTAATTTACTCATTTCCGCAGCCTTAAACTCATACAATATATTACTTTGTTGAAGCAAAACAGCATTAAAAGTAAGCAAATTCAGTTAATATTGAAAGTGTAACAATTACATTATTAATTTACTATCAAGCAAAACAAATTCTTCTTTCAAACTTCAACTTTTATCAAATCAATTATTTTATGATTACTTTTATCAAATAATTATGTTAAAACACTGAGAAATGTTTAAGATTGATTTCATGCAAGCTGAAAAATCAAACTTTCGGATGCAAGTTTTCAAAGGCTTGAAATTTGTTGGTGTGTTTTGTTTTTCCTTCACCTCAAAAAAGCAGCAACAGTATACAGAACATGTAGTTACAAAATTGTTCAAGATATATGATCATCAAAAAGCTACAGTAAGACAATAATCTTCCTAAAACCACATTGTAATTGAAAAGTACTAGGAGAAATCCGAGACTGTTTCAAGATAAAGAACAAGAACTGTGTCGTTTTCTACAACTATAAGCTGGAATCTTGTTAGAAGTTCCATCAGAGACAAATAAGAGTAACCCTCCAAAAATGAGTTTGCTTGAACAGTGCTGAAAAATGCAATCAATAAACTGAGAATGCAACTTTATATGACAAAGTCAAAAACGGGTCCTATTAGATCTAATATATACAATATACAAGAACATATCTCAAAAACACCAAAACCAAACAAAATACACTTCCTACTTATTTCGGAATCATGGCCCCAAAATAGAACTATCAGGTGGTCCTTCAAAAGAAAAAAGAACCATCAGGTGTTTCCCGCGATGCGCTCGGACAAAAAATACAGTAATTACAATAACAACATTGGCATGAATCAGAAAACAAAATTAGAAAGAAAATAATACCTGGAAAAATCTAGGAGTTAAAACTTGTTGTAGTTCTGTATTTTGTTAATGCGACCCTTTATTGCAAAAAAAAAAAACTATTATATAGAATAAGCACGTATGACTTCCACCACTGGTGCTCGACACATTGGACACTTTCTTCTACTATCGAGCAATTGATTCGCACATTTTGAACATGTGCACATGTGCCCGCATCTGCAACACAAGTACAAGAGCATGTAAAAAGTGAGTAACATTAGGAACAAAGTAGTTGCTAATGTACCAAATTGATATTTAAGGTTACCTGTACAACAAACAATCAATATTGCCTTCGCAGCATATACAACAAAGTCCTTTCCTCACACATTCCCATTTAGATTTATCGTCGGGTGTAATATGGTCTCGTACTCCTGTGATGAATTTAACTTGGAGTCAAAATCAGTTTTGTCCAACAAGAACAAACACATCAAGACTATTCCCATAGGAAAGTTACTTTTCTTGAAGATTAACATAACGGGTCAAGGCAGAGACAGAAAATAGAATAGGAATTATGAAAGGCACCAAAAAATTGTAGACCTGATGAACCGGTTGAGCGGTTAAGGGCTGCAGAGACTTCTTGTCTTATTGAGCGTTGCAACTCAAGCTGCATATCCATACAGGCCTCTAGCATTCTCTGCATATTATTCATCCTTTGCTGTAGCCTAACCATGTCTATTCTCAAGTCACTAATATTATCCAACTCCTGTCAAAAAATAATCAAGAAAATTTTTCAAATAACAACACAAGTATAAGGTAGAAAAGTTGGACAGATAGTTGTAAAGAGTAGACTAGGGAGTATAGAGTACATCAGTTAGAGGAAAGCGGTTGTGTCCTGCAAATGGATGCACAGTTCCTCGGTGCTGACTATTTATGCTATTTTGGGACCAATTGTCATGACGTGAGGGTCGATCCCATAGAGGCAAAGGAGGAGGAGTGGGTGGTAAAGGCAAGTTAAGTGAACTATTGACAATGTCCTCCGTATCAGCAATCTGATCCCTTCTCTGCTGCCCCAGGTCTTGTTCTGTTGAGGGAGAAGAAGGGGTTGTTTCTCGCAGCTCCCACTCACCGTGAGCATGACCTCGCCTTTCAACATATGATTGTATCAACTGGTCAAGACTTTCACGGAAACTGCTGCGTAGGAGGTTTGAGACACTCCTCCTGCAAAAGAAAAATACACATTTATTCTAAACTACATTTTGTATTTCAAAAAGATATTTGCTGAAACTCTTCAATCGTATCTACACACCTACTTAGCAGTTCCCTGAGTTCAACACTGTACACGTTGTCATCTTCTGGAAAATAAAATCCATGAGTTCTACCAACTGGAGCTACTTCGTTATCAGAAGGTCCTCCCAACCAAATTTCCACAGCCTCCTGAAAACTACCATCTTCTTGCCAGACTTCAGAGGTTACCTGATCTTGTAGACGAGAATTGTCTCCATCTTCAGTTCCTAAGATGTTTTGGGGCCATTCATTTGACGTGCTACTGAGCTGATTATCATCCACACTTTCCTGGGTGCTGTCTCTCCAGTCAATGTTAGTTTGATTCCACTCACTTCCTTCATTTTCAACAATAATTTCCTCGTGGTGCCCTCTTTCTATTGCAACAGATTCAACCGAATCTACGTCATCAACAATATTTTCCTCTACACGATTGTTGTGATTTGATAGATTGCTCTCTTCACCATCTATATCACCCAGCAGAGCTTGCTCAGTTTGTATCACACTTGGTTCTTGTTCTTGCATATTGCTATGCTCCGTAACTTCAACTTGCAAGCTTTGTTGGGTAATGCCGTTATCAGTATCTTCAGTTGGCGTTGTATCAACATTTTGTGTGGTGTCATCACTTCTTTCAACCCTAATATTGGAAGATGGCTCCAAATTTCCTTTTTCTTCTTCATCACAAGCACGTAATATTCCAAGTCTATCACTTTCCCTATTATTAGGCTTTGATCGTTCAGAATGTACAGAGGGGACTACTTGTGAACTGGTTGCTCCAGTTTGTTCAATTGTATCGACATCAGTATCACTGTCAGATGAGGTCTCAGATAGGTTGTTTGCTGCTTGACTGTAACCTGAATTGTTTTTTCTAGAAGAAAATCCTTCCCTGTTCATAAGACAAGTTAATGTCATTGGTATAACACAGACACAGAAGGAAAAAAATGTAAACGAAAGAAGGGAAAAGGACAAGTAGCTTTAAGCAGTAAAAATGAAGCAACAACAATGGTCGCACTTTATTTGGTTTAAGGGCAAAAAAAAATAAAAAGCAGATTATTTCAACCATTTGGACATATTTGCAATAACAAGATTAATTTCAAAATGATCTTCTAGCAGCAGTAACCTTAACCCATCAAACTGTCATTTCACAACAAAATACATACTGTAAGATACACACACACAACAATTTGGCCATATTTGCAATAACACTAATTTCAAAATGGTCCTAAAGCAGAAGTAACCTTAAACCATCAATTCTGTCATTTTCCCAACGAAATACATACTACAAAATAAAGACACACAAACTCATATAGACTGTGTCCTAATTTTCATAAATCAAGGTTATTATAGGAAAAACCCAAATCCCACATTGGTTAAAGAAGGTGTCAAAAAAGGGTTTATATAGAGTGGTACCCCTCACCTTACTAACCGATTTTGTAGGAATGGGTTAGGTCAAACTCTAATTCTATCATGGTAATGGGCATAATTATATCCAATCACCGAGCCAAATAGTGCTGGGCGTAATTATATCCAATCACCAAGCCCAAATTGATTAAAGATGGAGCCTAAAAAGGAGGATTTATATAGACCGGCACCACTTAATTTTGACGATAGAAATATTCACCTTAACTTCAATTTTACGACCTTATTTACGAATTACCGTACTGAAATACTGCAGACATCAGCTTAGAATAACGAAATTTAAAGCTAGATAATATCCTGTATCAAAGTGTTTGAACAAATATAACAGATGCACACCAGTCTGCCTTATTAGATATTGGAAAGAATTGTTAGACATTCAAAAGATGATTATATGGATTGAAACTTAGGAAAGAAAAAAGAAGTCACAAATAGAGAAGCTGAAAGAGAAATCAATCAATCCAGAAGACTTCAAATAAAATTAAAATGAACTTCTCAACTTAATGGAAATATGACTGCGTACCTTAGACATGATACAGTCTGTTTTTGTCTCAATAATCCCAATTCACTTTCTGCAATGGAAGTGGACCGGATATTATCAATGGGCCTATCATTTCTCAAAAATCTGCCTCTAAGCAAGGCCTGAAAATATTTTCAACAAACAATCATCAATTGTGAAAGAAAAGCTCAAATTCAAATAAAGTCCTAAATGTTAAATTCTTAGATTATGGATTTAATATAGGTATGTTTGTTTTAGATTTGAAGAAATGCTTTTAAGGTATAATTTTGAGTAGTTATTCCTCCTTAATACACTATCACTTTAAGATTCAGAGCCCAAAATAGCATTTCTTTTTTTCAGAATCTTTATTTTATGAAAATTTCTACTTGCGTATCTCAATTAATAATTACAAAGTGTTTTATTTTTTTTCAAACAAGTACAGACAAATGGGGCTTTATAATGTCTTTTGGTTTCTTCTTTCCTTCTCTAATTTATTTACATTTCAGTTACTAGGTATTTTCGTACTCTATAATGCACATACTACTAATCACCTTTCCCTATTCCTACCATGATAGTGTTTCACTTAACGCTCCTCAACAAATTGAGCATTATTTGATAAAACTCACCTAAGTGTTCACTAACAGGTTTGCTAACAAATAATTTTACTCATTACATAGAAAGAAGAAAAAAAAAGGTCCAAATCTGCATTGTATACACATGTGGTGTGGTACAAAAAAGTTACGAAATATGATTTAAAAAAAAACCATTTAGTAGACAAACCTGAATCCGATTGCGATGGGGAAAATGAGATACAGCCCGGCGTTCCAACAATTCCTGAACTTCTCTTTGCCTTTCCATCTCAGCCTTCTTAACCATGTCAAGCAGGACCTGCCGACCACGTAATTTACGGATTCTTCTTCGCGATATATGCTCACTTTGGCCTTCATTCTGATTTACAGCCAATCCCTCACGAACACACTCAACTTGGTTACCAAATTCAGAAGACTGTTCTTCCCTATTTTCCCCAACAGAAACACCTCTCAGCTGGCTACTCATCTCTACCCATTCCCTTACGACACTCACTCTTTCCGGGTCAGTTTCCCCAAGTAAGTCACCCCTTGAACCACCATTTCGCCGAGCAATATTTGATGCATGATCCCTAGAACCACCATTACCCATCCATTCCCTGAAAACTTTCCTCACTCGTTCCCTTCCACTCTCCCCAATATTAGAAGAGTTCTCACGACTAGCATTGTTCAACTCCTCCTGATCCTGTTCACATTGAGACCCATTCTGACTCTGTGACTGCGACCAAGTTTCAGATTCATTCTCACCCAAAACCGAACCTTCTGTCGTATGATTCGTATTTTCCTGTGACAGATCCGCAACCAACCCATCACTTCTTTGTTGAACCAACACTTCATCAGATCTTCCTTGAACCTGTCTCACCACATGCTCATCTTCAATCCCCCGCCACATCTGCAGCAACGAAGATGACCGCATACCTCCCCTTCCTCCATCCTCTTGCCTCCTCGGTGACTGAGAATGAGAGTCCCTCAAAAATGTAGACTCCATCGCAGCTGCATTCTGCACCCCAGCAATCGCCATTTCTAATTTCCTAGATCCCACGCAGAATCACCAATCTTTTCAAACCATTTTATTCAAATTCACTGAAACTCGTAAGCAGACGGTGAGATAAGAAAAATCAAACACACTCACAAATTCCCAATCAGATCATTTCAATAATTCTACTAGAATCCAATCACATTTTCCATTATTATTATCCTAAATTCTAAATCTCCCCGCTATAATCAATATCAGCCTTTTAAATAGCCGTCGTGTAACGGCTATTGTCCCATCGCAAACCTCGATATTATGCAGAACTGCGGTCGCATTACGGTTACAACAACATTGAAAATGGTTACGTCATTATTTAAAACCCTTAATCCATATCAACCCCATCAATAAAACAAACAACAAACTCAAAATCTACAATTGAAGAATGTTGCTACTAACTAAATCTAACTATACCAAATCAATCTTGTAATAATAATAATAATAATAATAGTATAATAACTGATTACAAGAAATAATAATAATAATAATAGCATCATCATAATATAAAAATAACAATAATACAACAATTTGCACCTATATTAGATACTAGCCAAAAAAAATAAACAAGCTAAATTAAGCTAAAATTCTAAATAGCTTCGAATCACAAAAATTTCAAAAGGAGCAAAACGGCATTCAAATCGGCGTTTCAGATCATTCAATTAGTTGAAGAAAAAATAATCGATTAAACACGAATCAGATAAAACGCAGCGTTTGATTAGCATGAGATGGAAATTGATGAAAAGGAACGTACCAGTGATGCGGAATTTGGAGGAGGAGGAGGAGGAGAAAACCCTATAGAGATTTTAGAGAGAGAAAGAAGGAGCGAAAATGGAAGATACAGTTGAAATGAGAGAGAAGAGAGAGAAGAGAGAGAATAAATATGGACACGTCAGCGGTTGTGGTGGTGACTTTTGGCTTTCGAACTGCCGTGACTCGGTCACAATATTTTATTTGTTTTAATCAAATGGGTCATCATTTCGTTGACACGTGGCGAGTTTTGGTTTGTTCCGAGAATTGACGAAATGACAAATCTTAAATCGGACGTCAAGTTTTGGAAAAGCTACCAATCGACTGGATCTAAACGACGTCGCTGGTAAAAGATCTTTAGGTTTTGATAAAACTATAAATAAATAAATTACTATCTCTTATTCTATTTTAAGTTGATTTCTAAATAAAAAATATATATAAATTCTATATCACTTTATAATTTTATAAAACTTCATTTTTTATCATATCTCTTATTAGTTATTACTTTCTTTTTTTTCGTTTTTTTATTTCTTTTTTAATATTACTATAAGAGAATTTTATAATTCTTCTATAATATTTTTCTATATAAAATTAATTAATTTTTTTATTCGGTTTGAAATGAATCAAGTCTTATTTATAAATTTATAGAAATAGTTATCAATTTCTATTAAAGAGATTTTATATTAACGTTTTTTTGGTTATGAATAAACTATTTATCAACTAAATAAAATAAAAGGAATTTAAAATTTGAATATTGATCGATCCTTCAATTATTTAATATTTATATATTAAATTTTTTCTTTCTAAATTAATTTTGTAAATAGGTAGAAACTATTCAATATTTTCTTTTCATTATAATTATTTTAGGGTTGGACAACAAACACTAAGTATAATATGCAATATTCGATTCCAAAAAACTAAATTAAATTGGGTTGAAATGGATTGGTTCATTGTAGATGAACCTCGATTTCAATTGAATTTAAATGGATATGTTCGATTTATTTAAATACATCCACAATAATCGAATTCATATATATATATATATATATATATATATATATATATATATATATATATATATATATATATATATATATATATATATATATATATATATATATATATATATATATATATATATGAGTCACTAGAACACAGATATGTTAATCAAGTTTCATTTATGGAAACAAGTAATGAGTACTAGTTAGTGTTGGCATCACAGTTCCAAAAATAATGTGAGAAACTAACTTTTATGTACATTGTCATATTTAAATCTATTTTGGATATGTTATTAACATCACAATTTCTAAGATGATATGAAAATTTGATTTTGAATTTCCAACATATTTTTAAATTTGAAATTTGAAATACAATGTAAAACTTATATCAAGGTTAAATAATAGTATTGTGCTTAAAAATGAATAATCATAATAACCTGAATAAATCGAACAGCTCATAACTCGTCATAACTCAGTCCGTCAAAATCGATTTGTGAAATTTTGGCAGAAATGAACCTTTATAATTCAACCGTAGATTGAGTTGAGTGTCACTTTTGAGTCTGAACCCGCTCAATCCGACCCGTTGTTCACCCCTATGTTACTCTATATGTCCACCTACTTTATTTATCTATACAATATTCTCTCTATATATTACTTCTTATGTTTCTTATATTTATTTTATTTCATCAATTTATAAATAATAATAAAAGAGGCAACAAGATAACAAAAGATATAGAAGAAAAGAGCGGATCTCAATATGTCGTTACATTGCATGATAACTTATGCATCCATGCATATACATTGAGTAAGTTAGTTAGAAATAGATAAGGTGGTATAACTATCTTTGTATAGTTGGTGTAACTATATATACACTCTTGTAACTAAATTCTGGATTGAGATCAATAAACAAGTTTTCTCCACTTCATCTTTTTTCTCTTTCTCTGCAAATTGCTCTCCTTTCAATGGAGTTTTCTTCTCCTTTCATGGAGTTTTAGTTTGCTTAGATGGTATCAGAGTAGGTTCATCTTGCTCTATTTTTGTTGCATGTTTTATTTTGATCTTACCTTTATTCTCATGGTGATTGCTTCTTCTTGAAGCATCGATTTCATTCTGGTGATTGCTTCTTCTTGAAGCATCATTTTCATTCTTTTTCTTTCTATTTCAAGGATTTTTTTTCAGTTTCAATGACGAGAAATAACAATAATCAAGTTCAGGATCAACTTGATCCTTACTATGTGCGTCCTTCAGAGAATTCATCAAGAATATGTGTAACTCCTGCATTATCCGGTGATAATTGTCATGCTTGGTCAATGAAGATGAGAAGGGCTTTGAAGGTGAAAAACAAGTTCAAATTCGTAGATGGATCAATCGAATTTCCTGATGAAGATGATTTAAACTATACAACTTGGCAGAGATGCAATAATTTTGCACATACATGGATTAACAACTCAATCACACCATCAATTGCTCAAAGTGCGGTGTTTATCGATAATGTTATCGATATGTGGAATAATCTCAAATAGATTCATGAGAGGTGATCGACTTCGAGTTTCTAAGTTGCACCAAGAAATTTCAAATCTGAAACAAGGTAGCAAGAAAGTTTCAAATTATTTCACTAAATTAAGAAGTTTGTGGTAAGAATTGGATCAATATAAACCAATGCCAAGTTATACTTGTCGTGTGGCTTGTGCTTATTTAGCAATGAGGAATAGCAGAAGCTTTAGAGCTGAAGATAAAATAATTTAGTTTCTAATTGGTTTGAATGAAGAATATCATGGAGTGGTGTCACAAATTTTGCGCATGTATCCCTTGCCATAAATCAACAAGGTATTTACACTGGTGATGCAACAAGAAAGAAAGATATGTGAAACTATTTTCTGGTGGAACTATAGTGAAAGACGGCTCAGGCATGGTAAATGAATCAGATGGATCAAAATAATTTGGAAGAGGTAGAGGAAATGGCAAATTCACTACAATAATAGGAAGAGGCAATGTGAAGGTTTGTACCTATTATCATAAAACAAGTTCTATTATAGACAATTGATACAAGAATCATGGATATCCGCCAAGATTTGGAAGAGAAAATTTGTACGTGAATCAAGTGGAAGTTAAAGACTCATAAGCAAAGTCAGCAGTAGCATCAACTAGTGATAATGGGAGCTTGTCACTAACCAAAGAGAAATATCAAAATTTGATGGTCTTGCTTTAGAAAAACACATGATCAATCAATCTAAATAAAGGGTTGTAATCCTTATGTTTCTAACTTTAATGCTCATAGTAGTGTAAATTAGATTTTGGACACATGAGCTACATATCACATAAGTCATTCTTTATAATGTTTTATTAAACATGACAACATTAGTCATGTAATGGTTAATCTACCTAATTGAAATTCAATATTTGCATCTATATCTGGAAATGTGAAATTATCTAATGACTTTATCATTGAAGATGTTCTATACTTGCCACAATTTGAAGTTAACTTGATATCAGTTTCAAAAATGTGTAGAGAACAAGAGTGCAATATTGTATTTGAAACTAGCAAGTGTGTGATACAAGCAAGGAAGGATTCGAGGAAGATTGGTTCACCTAGAGAGCTTGATGGCGTTTATTACTTGGAAGCTTCTCAAAGAGATAATAATATAGGGCATATTTCTATTGTCTTTGCAAATAAGAAATTTGATGATATAGCTCTTGCAATTGTATGGCATCTTAGGCGTGGTCACCTATCTTATGATAGGATGAAATGTATGATAAAAATGTATAGTTACATTCCTAGTAGTATACATACAGCTTGTAATGATGTATGTTAGCAGTTTAGGCAAAAGATTTTATCTTTTCCTATAAGTAATAATAATGCACGCCCGATGCTTAATCTAATTTACCTTGATGTATGGGTCCCTTTTAATACTATTTCTATGCATGGATTAAGTATTTCTTAATTATTATAGATGACCATAGTAAGAATGTTTGGGTTGTGATGTTGAAGTCCAAAGCTGAAGTTTTTCAAAAGATAAAAGATTTTGTGTCCATGGTTGAAACACAATTTGAAAAGAAGATAAAAACCATTAGAAGTGATAACGGGGCTGAGTTGATCATGCTTACCTATTATGCTTCAAACTGTATCATACACAAAAGAATTTGTGTATATACTCCATATAAGAATGGGATGATGGAAATGAGACATCAACATATCTTAAATATAAGTCGAGCGCTCATGTAGAAATACTGGTCTTATGGAGTTCT